GGGCTGTGTGGAGATCCCTGGGCTGTCTGAGGAAGAGGAGCCCGTCCCCAACCGCAAGATCCAGTTCAGCACAGCACCCATCCAGGTGAGACTGGCTGGGGGGGGGGGGCAGCTGGGGAGGAAGGGAACCTGGGGTGAGGGGTACCCAGGGTGACAGATACCTGGGGTGAGGGGTACCCTGGGGTGAGGGGTACCCAGGGTGACAGATACCTGGGGTGAGGGGTACCCTGGGGTGAGGGGTACCCAGGGTGACAGGTACCCGGGGTGAGGGGTACCCCAGGGTGAGAGGAACCCAGGGGGAAGAGTACCCAAGGTGAGGGGCACCCAGGGTGAGGGGTACCCTGGCTGTACCCAAGTGGGCCCAGGTGGGCAAGCAGCCCAAGATGAAGGGTACCCTAAGAGGAAGGGCACCCCGGGGTGAGGGGCAGCCCAGATTGGTGTATGGGACCCCCACAAAATCACCCATTTGGAGGGGACAGAGAAATGGGGTGCAGGTCTGTGCCCCCCTGCCCTGTGCCCTCCCCAGACAGGGCATCCCCCCTGGCCATGCCCTTGCACTTGGGGAAACTGGGCCTGGGTCTGGCTAACGAGCTGGCTAATGAAGGGCCAAGCCCGGGCATGGTGGGGACCCCCAGCCAACAAGGGGCCCCCCGGGGCTGGTGTGATGGGGTCAGGTACCCGCTGGGGTGGACTGTGCACAGCACCCAGTGCCAACCTCCCCATCGTGCCCGGGACAGGCCAAGACCTACTCCATATTTTGGGAGGGGATGCCTGAAATATCTGTGTACGAGGTGCTGGGTGCCGGGGCTGTACCACCCTTGGTCCTGTTTGTCCCTCGGTGCCAGGACTCCTCCCAAACCGGGGGGTCCCCTAGGACAAGGTGGCGCTGGGGGGTTGTACCCCCCCTCGTGTGCCCAGCCCGGTGCCCAGAGCCGTTTCGGGAAGTGGAGGAAGGGGAAGTGCCGTGGCAGCGTGGCCGGGTGGGCGGCATCGCCCGAGCACCCCCCGCTCCCTGCCGGGGATCCTGGCAGGGTTTGGGGTCCCTACCTGGGATGCTCCCCCAGTGAAGGGGGGGCTAAAGGGGCCGTGCAGCTATTTTGGGGTGTTCTCTCCCGCACGGATCCCCCCGACCGCGGGAGCAGCGGTTGCTTTGTGCCGGAGCCGGGTTATTTTTAGAGCCCCGGCCTATATTCTGGCTCTGAGTCAGAGCGGGTGGGTGGCCCCACCTGGGACAGGGGGACAGGGGGACAGGGAGCACCGTGGCCTGGGCAGGGGGCAGTGGTGGCTGTGTGCTGGGGTGGCTGCATGTTGTAGGGAGTCTTGATCCTGTGGGAACCAGCCAACCCAGCCCTGGGAATGGTGCCCTGGCCATGGATGCGTTTTTGGGGTGCTCTGCTTACCCCAGCACAGCCTTTAACCTCCTGCTTTTACCTACCTCGGCGGGGGTCCCACGTGTGGGGATGGGTGGAGAGTGGGATCCAGGTCCCTGCCCAGGTACAGGGGTGATGCTGAGCCCCCCAAACCCGCTGTAGGGCTTGGAGACGTTGGGGACCCCCCCCAGCCCAGCGCTGGGGGCACACACCGCCAGCCCCTTCCCCTGGCTTCGGCTGCTTCTCCCTTGGAATCTACTCCAGGCCCCCCACGCATCCCAAATCCCCCAGGACCTGGGGGTGGGGTGGGAGGCACAGCAGGGTGAGTGGGGACATGTGCCCACAGCCCCCCAGGGACCTCCTATGGATGGGGGGACACTGGGACGTCTCCTGCCCTGCTCCTCCCTGTCACCCCTGGGTACCACCCGTGTGGGTCCTGCCCTTCTGTGGGTGTCACTGGGCTTTGTCCCCTGACACTCATCCCTAATACCCTTTGTGTCCAGGCTTTATCACCACGGTGTTATCCCTAATCCACTCGCTCTGGCGGCATCGAGGGGCCAGGGCCCCTCCTGGGACATCTGCCAGGCCCAGCCCCTGCCAGCCCCTCCCCAGCAGCCCCCAGTGGACATGGCACCCACTCCCTCCAGCTCCACGCTGGGGACAACGTCCTGGAGGCACATCCAGACTCGGCCAGGGAGGGTTTAGGGGTGCCCCATGGTGGGGGTCATGGTCCCCAGGGATTTGGCATGGGAGGGTGAAGAGATGCCCCACAACGAGGATCAGTGTCCCTGAGGATTTGACACAGGAGGGTTTTGGGGTGCCTCATGAGAGAAGTCAACATCCCCAGGGATTTGAGATGCCCCATCCTTCTATTAGTCCTTCATTTCATCCATCCATTCTTCCACCTATCCGGCCTTCCTTCCTTTTTTCTAGTCATTCTTCCATCTATCCATTCATCCATCCATCCATCCACTCATCCATCTGCCATTCCATCCATCCTTCCATGGGGTGCAGGCACTGTCTCCTCTCCCAGAGCCACCTCCAAACCCTTTGTCCTTCCTCATCTCCCCCTCGCTCCACGACACGATGTGGGGAGGGGGATTCTCTGGTGTCTTACAGGCTCCCTGCCCTGCCCATGCCTGGGGCTCTCCCACACGGGAATTCCCATTGCCATGGGTGTCCCTGGTGTTTTCCCACCTGGCTGAGCAGCTCCCTGTTCCCACCAGGTGTTCAGCACTTACTCCAACGAGGACTATGACCGCCGCAATGAGGACGTCGACCCCATGGCCGCCTCGGCCGAGTATGAGCTGGAGAAGAGGGTGGAGAGACTCGACCTCTTCCCTGTGGAGCTGGAGAAAGGTGGGTCCTCACCCCGTCCCACACCCCAGGACCCTTGTGGCACCTTGGAGGTGACTCCATGGCATTGAGTGGCCGTGGCCACCCCGCCAGGACACGTCTGTCTGTCCCCACAGACTCCGAAGGGTTGGGGATCAGCATCATCGGGATGGGAGCGGGGGCTGACATGGGCCTGGAGAAATTGGGAATCTTCGTCAAGACGGTGACGGAAGGAGGGGCAGCCCACCGGGATGGCAGGTACGGGCTGGGGGGACTGCCCACCTGTATGGCTGCTCCTGGCACGGGGGTGGGAGCAGGGACACTGTTCAGGTGTTCCCTGGGATCAGGGAGATGATCCAGGTGTTCCCTGGGTGGGAGCAGATGATGATCCAGGTGTTCCTTGGGGTGGGAGCAGGGAAATGGTCCAGGCGTTCCCATGATAGGAGAAGGCAGATGATCCAGGTGTTCCCAGATAGGAGCAGATGACCCAGATGTTCCCTGGGGTGGGAGCAGAGGATGATCCAGGTGTTCCCTGCGGTGGGGGAGGTGGGCAAGGGGTGGCCCCGCTGTGACGGTCCCCTTGTCCCCAGGATCCAGGTGAACGATCTGATTGTGGAGGTGGATGGCACCAGCCTGGTGGGGGTGACCCAGAGCTTCGCTGCCTCCGTCCTCAGGAACACCAAGGGCCGTGTCCGGTAGGACCCGGGGCTGGGGGGCTTGAGGGGCTGGGAGACCCCCAGAATCTGTGCTGAGACCCCTGTGGTCCCTGCCCCATAGCCTGTCCCCAGGCTGGGCTGTCCCCCAAAATACCACTCCCCCTCATAAATACCACTCCCTCCTCATGCCCACTGCC